CGGCGTCCCGGTGCCACGGCAGCCAAGTAAATGACAGCCCGACCAACCCCCTCCCCCGCTCGCCGATGGGGTTAAAGCGATGTGCGGGTAAAGCCCGAAGGCTGGAAGTGGTGCCCCGGGCAGGTGAGGGGTTGGGCGGCGTCGGGGCGTCGCTTGGGCCGCCCGAGCGGTGAGGCTGAAGGGACGGAGGGCGAAGCGCGGGGAGCCGTGAGTGGGGCGACTAGGTTCGGGTTAATTCCTGCTTATAACTGCACCTCTGGGCTCGGTAAAACTGAATTGGTGTGGATTTCTCGGGTAACCCCGCGGCTGGGGTGTGCTGTCAGTACATAAAGCGGTCCTCTGACTTGAGGCAGAAGTGTTGCTATGCTGCAAATACAGTAGAGCCCCATATGTTTAGGATTTTCTTCTTTTTTTTTTTTTTCTTTCCCTCCCTGTTAGAAAGTTTGAAAAAAAGAGACTTTGAAGTATTTTGTTTATACTAACAGAAGAGAAAAGTTCTCCTAAGAAAAAGCTGGTGGCAGGAGTGTAGAGGAGTAGCATATGGCATTAAAAGGAGCACAGCTGGAGGTAGCATTTCCATCTGAACATGATGTCAGAGCAGCTGACAGCCTGCCATCCCTCAGCCTTTTATTCTAACACACAGACAGGGAGTTAGTGTGTGCAGATCTGTGTGTGGAGAAGGTATCTCATTCCTCTCTAACATCATCTCCACTTTGCATCTGTCTCTCCTAGTCTGCTTTTTTTCCACCGATCTAACAGACCTGGAGCCAGCAAGACTCAGAGGAAAGGACTTAATCAGGTTTATGTGTACTAAAGGTAGGAGTAGCAATAGATTAGATACAGCATATTTCTGTTTTGGTGTGTTGTTTATTGAATTTCAGAAAAAAAAATCACATTACTTTTCTAACCAAGTTTAGAGGTAATATATGAAATTGAGTATTAAACAGATAAGTGGACTTAGTCAAAAGGCTTGGGCTACAGTTGGAGAGTATCAGTTCTTGGGCACATTGTTAGTATTAACTTTAATGCATATTGTGAGAATGTCTTGGTTTGGAAGAAGGAGAGAGTAAGTTCATTCTTCATTGCTGAGACCAAAACTGCATTGGATTTAGTGGCAAGCATAAAGAGAGTTCTGCTTTACCGTCTTGTATTGCATCATTTAAATGACTTTATGGGGGTTTTAGTGAAATATTAAAAAGTGTGTTGTTTTTTTTTTAAAAAAAAAAGGACTGTTCTGGCTAAAATGTGTTTGTGGGGAAGTCTTTCATTAAACTTCACGGTTAAATATCCAGCAGCTCAGAACCGTAGTAGCATACAGCTGTAGTGCTTCTGAAAGATAGAAATCAGTTATGTGTTTAGAAACTTTTGTACTCGGGAGAATGGCTTGACTGGTTTCCTCTTTTCTTTCTCGCGTGTAGCATTTGAAATCTTTTATTTCAGCATAACAATAATTATTTGAAGGAGTTTTTGTATTTGCGACTAATTTAGAACTTGTAGATTTGAGCTGCCTGAATTGGCCAGACAGCTGTAATCGCACTCCTCTATTCTTAATCTCTTTATCTGGGCAGCAGCTGCCATATGGCCACAGTCAGCTGGATCAGATGTTTATAAGCTTCCTTCTTCGTCCCTCTCTGTCCTTTCAGCCTCCTAATTTGATCACAGCTACCTTGTGAGCTGCCCTCCAATCTTTATTTTTAGCCCTCTTAAGGATTAGGATTGATGTTGGCTGTGGGGCACTTAAAGTGATTGTATTGTAAATCTTCGTGCTTTACTCTAGCAATGGTATTTTGCAGAATATAGTAGGGGTTGTGTTGTAAGTTTTAGTACATCTTGGTTTTCGAGGGATGAGGATTTTTCAATAATATCTGCCAGCCTAGAGCCACGATCTGCTTAGATGGTTTGATGGGAGAGTATTGCTATCAATCACAGAAGAATAGATTAAGACAGGTTTTTAAGAGATTTTACTTTCTATTTGAGTTTTGACTTCTCTACTCCTTTGAAGTTTATTTTTTCTTTATCATCGAGGGAGGTGAATAGAAAATTACTTGGGTAAGAACAGTACTCGGGATACTGATTTTAAATATGCACACATGCACACATGCTCACGTTGAATGACTTTTTTTTTTTTTTTTAAGTTTGGTACTGCAAACTCTGTGTGGTGTGGGAGGGGAGGGAAATTTCTGTCCTGCTTAGAGGAAGCCGTGCTTGTTGGCATTTTGGTTGTTAGGGTTTTTTTGTAAATTCTGCATGTTGGCAAAAAAATGTTCATGTTCTGTTGTACAGTACAGAGAAGGTTTAAAACCTGAAACTGTACTTACTACAAGAAGAAAACCACGCGACCTAAATTTCTAAAAACCTTGATTTTGCTGTCACTATAAATTGACACCTGTAAATAATTTTTATACTTTATGAATGTTAGACCTTCAGATTTGGGTATATTAGCATTTCTTCATGCACGAACCTTTCCTTTTACTACAACTTGACTTTAAAATGAAGGTTGATTGTCTGATTATTTTTTTTCTTTCTTCCCCCTCTGTGATCTCTCAAACTTAGTGTTAATTTTTTTTTTTTTTTTCGGGTCTGCCCTCCTAGGGACGCAATCTGGAGGAAGTTCCCTTAAAAAAAAAAAAAAACAACCGTTGAA